GCCGGGCCTCCCTGTCCATCACCAACTCCCAGAGTTTACTCAAATTCGTGTCTATCGAGTCGGTGATGCCATCCAGCCATCTCATCCTCTGTCGTCCCCTTCTCCTCCTGTCCCCAATCCCTCCCAGCATCAGGGTCTTTTCCAATGAGTCAACTCTTCGCATGAGGTGGCCAAAGTACTGGAGTTTCAGCTTCAGTGTCAGTCCTTCCAATGAACACACAAGACTCATCTCCTTTAGGATGGACTGGTTGGATCTCCTTGCAGTCCAAGGGACTCTCAAGAGTCTTCTCCAACGTCACAACATCAATTTTTAGGCGCTCAGCTTTCATCACAGTCCAACTCTCACATCCATACATGACCACTGGAAAAACCATAGCCTTGACTAGACGGACCTTTGTTGGCAAAGTAATGTCTCTGCTTTTTAATATGCTATCTAGGTTGGTCATAACTTTCCTTCCAAGGAGTAGCCATCTTTTAATTTCATGGCTGCAATCACCATCTGCAGTGATTTTGGAGACCAAAAAAATAAAGTCTGACACTGTTTCCACTGTTTCCCCATCTATTTCCCATGAAGTGATGGGACCAGATGCCATGATCTTCGTTTTCTGAATGTTGAGCTTTAAGCCAACTTTTTCACTCTCCTCTTTCACTTTCATCAAGAGGCTTTTTAGTTCCTCTTCACTTTCTGCCATAAGGGTGGTGTCATCTGCATATCTGAGGTTATTGATATTTCTCCTGGCAATCTTGATTCCAGGTTGTGTTCCTCCAGCCCAGCATTTCTTATGATGTACTTTGCCTATAAGTTAAATAAGCAGGGTGACAATATACAGCCTTGACGTACTCTTTTTCCTATTTGGAACCAGTCTGTTGTTCCATGTCCAATTCTATCTGTTGCTTCCTGACCTGCATACAGGTTTCTCAAAAAGCAGGTCAGGTGGTCTGGTATTCCCATCTCTTTCAGAATTTTCCACAGTTTATTGTGATCCACACAGTCAAAGGTTTTGGCATAGTCAATAAAGCAGAAATAGATGTTTTTCTGGAACACTCTTGCTTTTTCAATGATCCAGCAGATGTTGGCAATTTGATCTCTGGTTCCTCTGCCTTTTCTAAAACCAGCTTGAACATTTGGAAGTTCATGGTTCACGTATTGCTGAAGCCTGGCTTGGAGAATTTTGAGCATTACTAGCTTGTGAGATGAGTGCAATTGTGCAGTCTTGAGCCTTCTTTGGTATTGCCTTTCTTTGGGATTGGAATGAAAACTGACCTTTTCTAGTCCCGTGGCCACTGCTGAGTTTTCCACATTTGCTGGCATATTGAGTACAGCACTTTCACAGCGTCATCTTTCAGGATTTGAAATAGTTCAACTGGAATTCTATCACCTCCACTAGGTTTGTTTGTAGTGATGCTTTCTAAGGCCCACTTGACTTCACATTCCAGGATGTCTGGCTCTAGGTGAGTGATCACACCATCTTGATTATCTGGGTCGTGAAGATCTTTTTTGTACAGTTCTTCTGTGTATTCTTGCCACCTCTTCTTAATATCTTCTGCTTCTGTTAGGTCCATACCATTTCCTTCCTTTATTGTGCCCATCTTTGCATGAAATGTTACCTTGGTATCTCTAATTTTCTTGAAGAGATCTCTAATCTAGGCTGAGACAAGCTACAACATGCCCGAGGTCAGGGGCAGCAGCCAAGTGGAGCTACCCCACGCCCCGAGGTCAGGGGCGGCCACCAAGAGGAGCAACCCCACCTCCAAGGAGCAGTGGCTGCCCAGGCGCAGGAGCGCCAAGAGGAGCTACTCCACGTTCAAGGTCAGGAGGGGAGGCCGTGAGGAGATACCCCCCGTCCAAGGTAAGGAGCAGAGGCTGTGCTTTGCTGGAGCAGCCATAAAGAGAAACCCAAGTAAGAGAAACCCAAGTAAGCTGGTAGGTGTTGCGAGAGGGCATCAGAGGGCAGACACTCTGAAACCATAATCACAGAAAACTAGCCAATCTGATCACAGGACCACAGCCTTGTCTAACTCAATGAAACTAAGCCATGCCGTGTGGGGCCACCCAAGACGGAGGGGTCATGGTGGAGAGGTCTGACAGAATGTGGTCCACTGGAGAAGGGAATGGCAAACCACTTCAGTATTCTTGCCTTGAGAACCCCGTGAACAGTATGAAAAGGTAAAATGATAGGATACTGAAAGAGGAACTCCCCAGGTCAGTAGGTGCCCAATATGCTGCAGATCAGTGGAGAAATAACTCCAGAAAGAATGAAGGGATGGAGCCAAAGCAAAAACAGTACCCAGTTGTGGATGTGACTGGTGATAGAAGCAAGGTCTGATGCTGTAAAGAGCAATATTGCATAGGAACCTGGAATGTTAGGTCCATGAATCAAGGCAAATTGGAAGTCGTCAAACAGGAGATGGCAAGAGTGAATGTTGACATTTTAGGAATCAGCGAACTAAAATGGACTGGAATGAGTGAATTTAACTCAGATGACCATTATATCTACTACTGTGGGCAGGAATCCCTTAGAAGAAATGGAGTAGCCATGATGGTCAACAAGAGAGTCTGAAATGCAGCACTTGGATGCAATCTCAAAAAAATGACAGAATGATCTCTGTTCATTTCCAAGGCAAACCATTCAATATAATGGTAATCCAAGCCTATGCCCCAACCAGTAACGCTGAAGAAGCTGAAGTTAAACGGTTCTATGAAGACCTACAAGACCTTTTAGAACTAACACTCAAAAAAGATGCCCTTTTCATTATAGGGGACTGGAATGCAAAAGTAGGAAGTCAAGAAACACCTGGAGTAACAGGCAAATTTGGCCTTGGAGTACGGAATGAAGCAGGGCAAAGGCTAATAGAGTTTTGCCAAGAGAACACACTGGTCGTAGCAAACACCCTCTTCCAACAACACAAGAGAAGACTCTACACATGGACATCACCAGGTGGCCAACACCGAAATCAGATTGATTATATTTTTTGCAGCCAAAGATGGAGAAGCTCTATACAGTCAGCAAAAACAAGACCGGGAGCTGACTGTGGGTCAGATCATGAACTCCTTATTGCCAAATTCAGACTTAAAGAAAGTAGGGAAAACCACCAGACCATTCAGGTATGACCTAAATCAAACCCCTTATGACTATGCAGTGGAAGTGAGAAATAGATTTAAGGGACTAGATCTGATAGACAGAGAGCCCGATGAACTATGGATGGAGGTTCGTGACATTGTACAGGAGACAGGGATCAAGACCATTCCCATGGGAAAGAAATGCAAAAAGGCAAAATGGTTGTCTGAGGAGGCCTTACAAATAGCTGTGAAACGAAGAGAAGCAAAAAGCAAAGGAGAAAGGGAAAGATATTCCCATTTGAATGCAGAGTTCCAAAGAATAACAAGGAGAGATAAGAAAGCCTTCCTCAGCAATCAATGCAAAGAAATAGAGGAAGACTGCAGATTGTTACCATGTATTTATTTCTGTGATCACTTCTTTAATATTCCTAGGAAGTCCTAAGAATAGGGGGCTTCCCAGGTGGCTCGGTGGTAAAAATCCACTTGCTAATGCAGGAGATGAAGGTTCGATCCCTGGGTCAGGAAGATCCCCTAGAGAAGGAAATGGAATCCACTCCAGTATTCTTGCCTGGGAAATCCCATAACAGAGGATCCTGGCAGGTTACAGTCCATGGGGTCACAAAGAGTTGGACACGACTTAGCGACCAACAACAATACCAGGAAGGCAGGGCAGGGACAATCTGGTTTGCTCATCACAGGTCATAGCACCTGGCCTAGCATGTGATAAAGTCGTTATCTTTGGAGGCCAACAGTCATTGGCCAGGTGCATTTTTTCTTGGGCAGCTTTGACACTAGTAGATGGTGTCCACAGTAATTGTTAAACCTCAGATTAGTTAAACCCCAGTGGGAACGTTTTAAGGAATCATTAACTTGTAGTAAATATTTTGCCCACCAGAGGTCCCTTTCTCCCCATCACTGGAGCCAAAGAGCTTGAACTCCTTGTGTATCTTCATGGTTTTCTTAGCCATGCTGCTCATTGAAGACTGGTATACCACCACCTTTGCATTGCCCAGGGGCTTGTCAGTAATGCAGAATCTCAGGCCCCACCCACACTGGAGGGATCAGAATCTGCATTTTAACAAGATTCTCAGGTGATCTGTGTACACATGCAATACTGCGAAGTACAGTTCTACAGAACATTCATAATCTGAAAAGCTTGGAAGACAAAACCCCATCTAAATGGCCTTTCCACCAGACTTAAAACAAGGAAAGAGGTTTAGAATCTGCTTTTATTATGAATATAAAATATACATACAACATAATATACATTTACACATTTACAATTTGCAGTTAGTTTCACTTTTTTGAGCACATTTGGTTCTGCACGGCCCAGTGGCCCATGTTCCTTCCACTTACACTCAAGACATTCTCTTCACCTTGGTACATACTTGGTAAGAAATACCAGGCCCAGGCGTCAAATGGCCAGCTTTACTGTCTTCACAGAATCACTTTCATCTTGTTTCCCCTTCTGCCCCTACAGGCTTTCCATGGCCTCAAACTTCAGCATTAAAAATGCAGGAGGAAAGAGGGCTGCAGTAATCCCCTTTGTCTTTCAAAATCACCTTGAAACATCTCACCTGAGCGAGGTGATACATCATAGGCATTGCTGGTTAATATGGTTTAAGAACTACCTACGGGGAGGCTCTGACGTGTCACATACAAACTAAGCTTGTTCACCAAATGAATGATCACAAAGGATCTGAGTATTGGTGGTATCGCAGTAAATAAATAAGTTAACTGGAATAAATACAAATAAATAAAGTGAGTTTCACTAAGGAAAATGTCAATGCCTACGTCCCTGTGCTCCAAACCTCATTAGGTGCCGCTTTACAACAGGTTGATAAACAGAAGCTGGATTTCTCTATGAGTCGCTCTTTGGGGCAACGCCTTCCATGTGCTGGTAAAGAGCAGCCAATGGAATCGTTCGTCATCACTTTTCTCAGAATGTTGCTATGCGAGAGGCTTTGTAGGAGTTCTCTTTGAGGCTGTCAAATATTGCTTTGGTTCCATTCTGCCAGTGTAGCACCAGATCCATCGGAGTCTTCCCAGCCTAATCAAAACAGAGGAGGGAATTTGACTTCCAGGTTGAAGACATCTATAAGTTCATCTCCTCTGTGTGTGTGTATTTAATGAGGTAATGGATAGTGTATGTTACTGAGGTGTTTTATGTTTCCCACTATGATTTGCAGTTTATATTCAAACCAGTCCTTTACTGTTTCTCACAGGAATGCTTTTGGCATTTCAAATTAGCAGATCAACAGTGTTTGGTTTTTTTGCCCCCCTGTGGGACTATCCCAGGTGTTGGTAAAAAATCCCTAGTCCCTTGACACTAAATAGCAAGCCTAAGCCAAATCATTCTGAAACTCAAAAGATGCCTCTGCCCTTCTACAGTGTACTGCAAAATGGGCATGGAGAGGTAGCAGTATCCACATGGTCAGAAACCAGTTCCTATCAGTTTGGAAAATGATTCCTGACTGATAAAAACTGGTGGGATATGAGCTGCTGCAACACCTTGGCTTAATTATACAGGTACCGCTCCAGGGAATAGATCTTTCACAGTTGTTCAGAAGTTACAATGGGCTCTCCCAGGAAATTTATTTTTCTTAGAGATGATATCAATGATTTTTGAGACCAAAAGTTTTTTACTTTATGTCTCGATATTTACAAAAGTTAAAATTATGTCACCTCTCAATTCTTGCCTTTCGATTTAAGAAGTCCTAAAATTTTCCATCTCTATCTATTCAGAAGTCTCTCTTTATCCCAGAGATTGCAAACTGGCAGCTTTGAGATGCAAATCAGTCTAGAGACCTGTTTTGGCCCAAACAGAGCTTAGATTTTTTAAAAATTGGAATTAATTGGCAACAGTTGGAAATTAAGAGATTTCCCAATTGAATCTGTGATCTCTCTGAAAAAAACTGGAAGGCTTGGCAGCACGATATCCATGGTTTCATGGAGCAAGAAAGGACTGGATTAGGGAAGGACCGCTACCTTCTGTGCACAGAGCCTGCAGCCACCATAAAGTCATTTATGTGATCTGCCTGGGACCTAGGCGGATTTGAGTTGGTGTCCCTACAACCTTAATTTTGGACCTTCTCACCCTGTAGCATGTGCCGTGAGGAACACTTATCAGCAGACGTGAAGACAGAGTTTGGGACAATGATACAATAATGATACAGTAGTGTATTGTTTACAATTCCCTTCAAGATGGTGTCCAGTAATTTAGTAGTCTTTTTTGGAAATATCCATCCATCGGGTCAATGACATTTATAGTTCTAGAACCTTTATGCTGGGGTTTTACTGAAAATGCACAGCTCTGAGGCCTATTTATATATTTAGGGCTATTTTTCCATGAATTCCTTAAACTCCTTTGTATTGACATTTATCTCGTGATTCCCTGGCTACTTACACAGTCTCCCCAAATCTATATGCTTTTCATCTCTGCCGGAAAAAAAATTATATTTTCTGCAGCTTTGGGGGTTTTGTTGAATCTACTCTTTCTGATGGTTTAAATTATTTGATAAGATCAATACTATATCAAGGATGAGGGGCCCCTACTCTTAACACTTTCCCAACTCAAGCAGTCTCTATTTATTGCATTTATTTTGTTCCTGTCACCAAGACAGTTTTATTTATTTATTTTTTTTGGAATGATGAAGTATTCCTCTCAGTCTTATAGTAACACAGTAAGAGGAGGAAATGATTCACAGTAAAAGATGACTGGGTTTTTTTTTTCTCTTTCTTTGTAAAGTGATTCTCCAAAAGCCTCTTTCAAATTACTTCTTCAGTACTTTACACTCATTCCTCCCGGTGGTATTTTTAAAGCTTATATTAGATGATGCTTGACTAGGAATTGGGACCACGAGGAAAATCTGGTTACATTCCCTGGCTTACAGATGAAGCTAAATTAACATGTACTTGTAAAAGGGATTTATACAAGCATTTTCTGGGCCTAAATATAAGAAACTATTTTGAGGGATGTGCAGCTAAACCAAAGAGGAGAATGAATAGAAATTAGCTCAAAAATAAAGGCAAACGCATGGCTACCTCTGTAAGAAAGTGGTAGCATTCATGCTGTTGTAAGAGGGGAAGGACTATTCACAATTACTCAGATTCAGTGTTGAATCATTTGAGTTCCTTGATCCTTGGCTGCACTGACCACTGTGGAATTTTCAAAAGCTTCAGGAATGGTGGGTGTCTTTATTCATGACTATTCCGGCCTAGCTCAACCAGGGATGGCCAAGGCAGACACTGCTTGTGTCTGTGAAGGTGGGTGGTTTGATCATCTTTTATTTTCAATACCAAATTCTGACAGAATTCCTAAATGCTGTGTTAGGCATTGAGGGCATAGGAGGCACTGTGGCTTCCCCATCTCTGATCAGGTGACCTGAGTCCTTGCTAAGGTCAGCAGTATCCTTATGGGAAGGAACAGGGCATTTAAATCATCAAAAGACCCCCGAAATGCTACCGTTGTAAGGCTATTTTCAAGTATGTGAGCCATACTTCTGTTCATTAGAAAGCCGGCAAACAAGGCCTCTTGCCTGAGTACTTACACAGTTCTTGACGTTGAGGTCGGCGCCATACGTAATCAGGAGTCGGATCATCTTGTACCGATTCAGCCTCACTGCGTCATGCAAGGGGGTATCTCCTTCCTAGAGAACAGAGTGAACAGGCTAAAGGTGGGCCTGAGGCCAGGAAGTGGGTCCCGAAAGGGTGCCCAGCAGGGGTAATGATCTCAAATAAATGAGTGAAGCTTTTAGGAGGCCAAACTCTGCCGGCCTACTCACCCGGTCTTTGGCGTTAAGGTCTGCCTCGCAGGCGATGAGATGCTCTGCGCACTCGTAGTGGCCAGTCCTCACCGCGACATGCAGCGCGGTGCTGAGCAACTATGAAATGGAAGAGCCTGTTGGGTCCCTGGGCATGAGGACAGAGCGTGTCCCAGACACCAACGCATGTGTGAAGGGGAGGAGGGGGACGGGGGTAGGAGAAAATACCTTATCCCGCGCACTGATTTTGGCGCCTTTGTTCAACAACAGTTTTAAGACATCCAGGCTTCCTCCGCGGCTTGCCCAGTGGATGGCTGTGGATTCAAGCTATACAAGGAAGGTAAAAGGACATGACTCAGTGGAAGAAGAACCTGGTCAGAGGAATTAGTTCTTGGTTTCTAAGACCTAGGAATACCAGGTTTGCCAGGGCATCTGTGATGGCACTGGGCTATCCTGGTCTAGGTCGCCAGTTCTAACTATTGTAGTTCAAGTCTCCTGCCAAATGTTTTGGCAAAAAATGTGCGAACGTGAGTGTATGCTCTCCTGTGTATGTATCTGTGTACATGTTTGCATCATTAGGAGGTTCTTAATAAACCTAATCTTTTTTAGAGAGGATAAGAACTAAAATGTACTGAGAATTTCGTGGTGCCCACATACTTCAGACGCACTGATACTCCCAGCAACATTGTGAAGTGGGCGTTCCTGTGCTCATTTTGCAAATAAGAAAAAGGAGGCTCCAAACTATTCAAATTTTTTGCCCAAGGAAACACAGCTAGTAAGTGGCAGAAGAGTTATTCCAACCCACAGTGTGCCTGGAACGTTTAACCACCTTTGCCAAATAAACTCAAAAGTTCTAGACAAATGTATGGATTTAAAAATTCTGGCAGAAAAGAAGTAGTCTCTTCCAAAAGATATTCGTCTGGATCTGACACCTCTGCCTGTGTCCCAGTCGTCTCTTCCTCATCGCTTCCTGGTTCTCTGCTGCCATCTGTGCTAGCACACTGTCATCTACCTCCACCGTCGTTGTTTGTGGTCACTGCACTTAATCATGCTAGAAAGTTTGGTATATCCCTGGCCCTCCAAATATCATGCTCGTGAATTTTGGGGTCTTTCCACGCAAACTTTATATTTTGTTTCTTTACTTGTTTTTCTGTGTGTGTAACTTCTGGATTCAGTTTTAGCCAAACCCTTTGGACTTTTCCAGTCCCTTTTCCACTCTGCTTGAAAAGTCAAATTGAGCTGTCTTTAAATAAATAAAGCATTTTTTCCCCCCAGCTCAATCTTCATTTCATAGAATATGCTATATACTGGTCTGCATAGAAATCACAGTGGTTGAATTACTGAGATCTGAATAGCAGCTACCTCCCCATAGATGCAATTCATTTTGTGTGCAGTCTAGCCCCAAATCTCACTGACGGCAATCAGCATCTATCAAATAAGGTGTGCAGCTAGAGAATTCTGAGATGTTGCTGGCAGCCAAGGGTCAGGAGCAGGTGGCCATGTATGATGGAAGGATGGGGATGCTGAAAAGCAAGTGTTGACTGTATTACTTGTCAGTAAGGCTACTGACTTGATAACAACCCAAGTCTTTGATGAGGATATTGAATTCTGTCCAACAGCTCTCACTTCCTTCTTTTCCCAGAAATACTCCTTTTCAGTATGTATGGAAGATACTTTCCACATGACCTAGTCCCATCTCTCAACTTCCCTTTGTATGGAGAAATAAGCTTCTGTCTAGTTCTCTCAGATCAATTTTCAATACATTTGGCCCCATTTTTCATAGTAGGTTTTCTCAAGCTTCACATAGTCTACTTACTTTGGCTCATTTCCAAACAAAGAGATATATTTACCATATCACGGAATTCAATCTGGGCTCCAGCTTCTATTAACTTCTCCACAATTGCCAAATGTCCTTCCAAGCATGCTCTGTGAAGAGCTGTCCGTTTATACTGTCAGAATAGAGATTTAAAAAAGAGAGAGAGCAATGCATATAAAAATGAGTATAAATCCTTTCTAAGAAATAGGAAGCTGGGGATTCTGATGACCTAGCTGATATAAACTTGAGTTCTTCTTTATGAGTTAGAAATGTCAAATTTACTAAAATTATCGACTAGAACAATTATTCTGCAACTGAGATTTGCATCTCCTGCAATACACGTTTCTAAGTGATTAGAGGTCTTCATCGAGGCGTGTGGACTTAGATTCAAAACTACCTAAGTGCTGACACTTCCCTTTCTTGTGTTTTGTACCCTCATGATTTCTGTAGTATTTGCCATGCAGTTCAGGCCATTTCCTTCCTTTGGGACTGCTGTTAGGTTGAATATCAGAAAGTATTCATTTTTCAGATAACGGGAGACATTTTTCTTTCAGCTTCAGAAATGATTCCCCATTTCAGTTCATAGGGGAAAGGAGTCAAAAAAGGATTAGTGATGTCTGATAAATTGGCTTCCCAGGTGGCTTCCTTGGTAGCTCAGAGGGTAAAGAATCCACCTGCAATGCAAGAGACCCAAGCTTGATCTCTGGGCCAGGAAGATCCGCTGGAGAAGGAAATGACTACCCACTCCAGTATTCTTGTCTGGAAAATCCCATGGACAGATGAACCTGGCGGGCCACAGTCCATGGGGTTGCAAAGAGTCAGACACAACTGAGCAACTAACACTTTCACTTCAGGTGGCTCAGTGGTAAAGAATCTGCCTGCCAATGCAGGAAATACAGGAGCCAGCAGATACCATCTCTGCATCGGGAAGGTCCCCTGGAGAAGAAAATGGCAACCCACTACAGTATTTTGCCTGAAAAATCCCATGAACAGAGGAGCCTGGCGGACTACAGTCTGTGCAGTCGCAGAGTCAGAGACTACTGAGCTCATACGCAAATGGATTGATAGGCTCTTTGTGCTGGAACACTATTAGGCATTATTTCATTCCAATGCCCTCTCTTTTCAGATAAGGAAACTGAAGTCCAGAAAATGCAGATTGGCTGCTAAGAATCAAATAAGTGAGTACTGAAAGAACTGACACTTGAACTCCGGACTCGAGATTCCCTGTGTAGAGCTGATATATTTGGGTCCAGTCAAAGCTAATGCTAATAATACATTTCTCCAGTCATGAGTGGTTGGTCCTGCCATACTAAAAGTCTATCCCAAAGATCTCAAAATTAAAGACAAACTGAAAAAAGCAGTGGGAAGAATATGAGAGTGCAAAAAAAAATAATGCAATCCATAGCACTGATCCAGCATTTTCTTTTTCTGGCCCACTGCACTCCCCTGTTATGCTACTGGCATATGTGGCAACAGCTGGGGAGACAGTTTCAGGTGGATTGATTTCTGGCACCAGACTATCAAGGCTGCAGTAAAGCATAAGAAACACAAAATTAACAAGCTGGATTTTGCAGTGCTTTGTATAAGCCTTACCTCATCACAGACATCTGGATTGTTCTTGTCTGACAAGAATTTTTCTACTACTGGCAGTTTGTTCTCCAGGGCAGCTTTGAGAAACCTAGGCACATCCACAGGTTCTGTCTAAAGTCAAAGAAAACAGTGTGAGAGTTACTATGGGCTTTCCAGCATTCAGTCAGACCCTCCACAGATAGTTATTTCCTTGTAGCCTAAGGCCGAGGGTTTCCCTGGAGGCTCAAACAGTAAAGAATCTGCCTGCAATACAAGAGACCCAGGTTCAATCTCTGGGTTAGGAAGATTCCCCTGAAGAAGGAAATGGCAACCCACTCCAGTATTCTTGCCCAGAGAATTCCATGGACAAAGGAGCCTGACAGGCTACAGTCCATGGGGTCGCAGAGTTGGACATGACTGAGTGACTAAGTCCCACCCCCACAATGTAACCAAAGCAGCGCTTACCACGATTTCAGGTTCAGGTTCAGGTTCCTTCACAACTGGGACTTTTGTTTTCCTGTATTTTTTCCTTTTCTTCAGTTGAATGATTATTTCAAGATCTTCTAAATTTTCCAGTTTTGATCTTTGTTCTAGTTTTTTCTTCTTGAGCTAAAAAAGAAATCCGTGTTTCAAAATATGGTGAGTTCTACTGACAAGCATTCTGGTTGTGTCAAAACAAAATCTGCAAGGTCTGAGCTCAGTATGTGAGCAGTTTGAGCAAAAAGATTTAAAAAAATATTTATAATAAATCTTTGACTTGGATTTAGTGATTTCTTATTCAAGTATTTAGGGGTCAAATTTTTCAGCTAATTGCCTTTATCTTTACTTCCTTTGCTTGTAGCACCAGCTTCTTGTTGAAGATAGAATCTAGTCTCTAAGTGATGATTTTGTAATTATTTCCATAAACAGACCCCAGATTTCTGTAGAATTTTTTTTATCATGCTCATGAATTTTTTTAATTGAAAAGATTTTGCTAATAAGTTTCAAACTCTAAAATTTCAATGCCAGTGTCTTTTAGGTGGCTCACTGAGCAGGGCTCATGAAACAGACTGTCTTGGGACTACATCTGTGGTTAGTAAGTAATGAAAACTCACCCAGCAACACATTTTGTCAACACAGAAAGTTGCCACAGTCAAACAATGATCCACGAACCACAAACCACATTATTGAGAAAAAAAGGCTCCCTTCCTTGGGATTAATTAGACAATATAAGACATCAGAAATTCACTGGACTCTTTTCTTTTCTCTTTCCAAGTCTTTCAGTCAAAACTCAGTCATAGACCATTCGGTGATTGATTCGGAATCCAGAGGTCATAGTCTTGCCAAAGAATTCTTTTCTACAGCCTGTTTCATAGAAGTTGCTTCTTTATAAGTTAGAAATTGATAAAGAAATACCTTTGGAATGGTTGCGTTTATTTGGTTTCTCTCTCTTCTCCTTCCTGTCTGGCACCTCTGTCCTCTACACCATCCCCAACCTCCCACTAGTGAATTTCACAGAAGGCCCTTACCTCTGCCTCTCGCTCTTTCTCAGTTTTCCATTGTTGCTCCCCCAGGCTCACAAAGTGGGTGGGAAGTGTTTTCAGGTCTTCCTGCTTCTCTAAAGTGACAGCAGCTTCATATTCTCCGTCTCTGAAGTCCTCAGGAAGGAACTCCCCGGCATCCCCACTGCCATTCTTCTTCCCTGTAACCTACAAGGAAGAAGGTGGCAGCGTCAGAATAGCAGAGTCCGTCCTGGGGTCCTTCTCCATAAAGGATGCTGCAGGAGGTCCCCCAGCCCTTCCTCCCTGCTGACAGTGGCTTCGGAGCAATGCACTCTCAGAGCTCAGGCTGTGATGCGCTGCCCCGGTGTTCCAGGAATACCTTCAGATGCTTGTTCTCTTGTATTGGTTAAATCAAGGTTTAGGTTAGGTTGATGTTTAAATCGCCTTTTAATCCACTTAATCACATTTCTCCTAAGAAAATCCCAACCTCTTCCCCACATCCCCACCAACAGTTTTAAAATTCTATCATTTTCAGTACTTTGGATGTTCCCTTGCCTTCCTATAGTTTCCACATATATATTGTTGCAATAGAACTTCTTCCCTAAGGCATTTTGATTACTGTACATTATTCCACACTTTAGTGATAAAACCAAAGGAGAAGATAATAAATAGGGAATATGTAGAGAATTCATTACTGCCAGCTCCTTTTTTTCCAATTTTACTTATTTCATCACATAAATCAACCATTTTCCATATATGACATTTCAGAATACCTGTGCATTATGCCTGAAAGAAAAGAGCATTTCAATTTTCAAATAAAAATCAAGGCTGCACCATTTTTCACTGCATAAAAATAATGTGCTTTACATACCAGCTCTTCTACCTTCAGAACCATCATGTTGACCCAAAGTTTGTCAGTCTGTTTTCCTCCTGAGGAATGAACCCTTGAGTTGCCCTGAGGAGCCCATCTGCTCCAGTGAGCTTATATAGCTAGAGCTGGGTGAGATAATCTTCCAACCTGGGAACCCAAGTAACACCCCTGCACCCCCCACCCCACCCCCGCCCACGGGGCCAACTCAGAGGCAGGTGAATTTTTCATTTCAGACTCAGTGTCTGGGAAGCAGGAGAGGGAGGGGATGACAAGTAACCCCACTGAATATGTGAATCAGGAAGAAATGTGAGAGGGCCATTCCTCTGGCAGTGACCACACCGCTCAGCAATGCAAGTCATCCTATTTATCGGGGAGCCAGAGGACAGCTGTCTGTTGACATTGCGCCACACCGCTGCTCCTTTTCCTTCTTTGTCAGCTTTCATATGACTAACCCTATCAAGAAAATGTAAATGGCCTGCGTATCACACCGCCAGTAATATCTTTCTGATAACCAGACTTATCAACACGTCACTTGGGGGAAGTGTTGCTTTAGGACATCCTATTCCCATGGGTAAATAGCCCGAGAGGAAAGGACCCAGGTCCTAATGTCCCTTGTCTATATCTGTTTGGAATCCTCTGGAGTGATGTCGAGGGCTAAAAAGGCCCCATGACATGCCACCTTACCATCATTATAAGAAATTGAAAGCATTCAGTAATACACTTTTGTTTTATGGTGTCACAGGCCATAATTAGCACATGATATGCTTACTGTCCTCTAAAACAGCATACTTACTGGAACAATTTTTATTCAGAAAAGTTTCAAAATGTCCTGAGATAGATTGTATGAGGCCAATTGTTAGTGACAGTATGACCTTGATCAGGTCACTGAGCCAGAGATCTCAGTTGCTGTGGAGAAAAGACACCTGCAGGAGCTGGTGAAAACTGCAGGTCCCTGGGCCCCACTCCAGGGCATTCTGTGTCAATTTATGGCTGAGTCCTAGGAGTCTGTGTTTTTCAAAGCACTCAGGTGATTCTGATGAAGGTTTGAGACATGTTGCCAGAGGAACAAAGAGCTTTGTTTGGGTTGGAGTGAAAAAAGACCTCTGTTCTTGGTTTCTCATCTCTGAAGTGTTAAATTATGTAAAAATAGTTACATCTCTTCACGGTCCAAGGAGAAACTAGAATTACTATCTCCAAAGCCATCTAAAAACTGGTTTTTTTTCTCTCTCTCTCTTTTTTTTCAGTAAAAGAAAGGAGGGGAGGGTGAGAGAAAGGGAGTGTGAATGGAGAAGCGTGTTCATTAGATGTTATGTTGACCTTCTGTGTCTATCACTCCCTCAAACGTGCCCACTCAGCACACTGGTTGCCAGTCTCTTCTTTCCCCTGATCAGCCTGGGGGTGGTTTTGCTGAAATTTTCAGAATGACACATTGACACCCCCCCACCTGCCTCTTTGTGCTGACAAAGAGGGATCCTCCCAATTACTCGGGTATCTGTTCTAGTCTCCTAATGGTCTATTCTAAAAGGGGTTTTACTAAAATGAAATTTCCCAGTGTTTTCTTTGAGGTGGAGACAGCTATGACCATTTCCATTGGTTTCTTTAAATAAGAAGTAGCCATTAAACATTTCTTACCCTTTTTTATCTTAGTCTCTTTGTTCCAGGCCTGACCCAAACTGAGGGGACCCTTAGGAGATCTCCTTGAGGGAAGGGTCATGGGTTGTTGAAGCGTCTTGGATATTGAATCCCAGAGCTGTTAATGCCCTCAAAGTTCAAGCAAGACCAGTGCTTTCATTATACAGAGAGGGCATGGAGGCACAGAAATGTGTCAAGTCACTGGCTTCAGACACACAGCTGGTTAGTGGATGCTAGGTTGAAGGGTTTGGATTCCATCCATCAGAATCAGAGAATCATTTAGGCCAGAGCACATTTCCCAGGGTAGTTCAGACCTAGACCCTCTCAGGGCCCAACCAAGACCTATTAAAAGGTCCTTCCGTATTCAGGGCACCTCAAAAAAAAAAAAAAAGCAAGTGAAAGTGGGTGGGATGGTACACCAAGCCTCTGGTCATTTAATTTCTTCCTCTGATCATTTAATTATCCCCTCAAACCTGGCTGGTTCTATGCAGGAGAGTCCAATAGGTCTAAAGAAAACTGCAGAGGATGACGCTTGAGGAAGGCTTGATGGGATGGGCAGAACTTAGAGAAAGGAGCCTGCCGGCCGGTTCCCTGGGTATCATCAGGTGAGTAAACTCTGCCTGCCTCTCCACTTGCCACTTCCGGTGTTGATCCCCTTGGTCATTGTAAAACATGAGAGGATTTTGCTTTTCAAAAGAAATTCTAGATACATTTAGGTCCCTAACAACAGATCAGATGCAATTGTATTTTCAAATCATTCCTATTCATCAAGACTGAGAAACAAACTTCTCAACTGGAGGAGAGTTTTCTGTTACTTGCTTTTAAGGAGCTTCCTTTCCATAAAATTTCCCCTAGTAGAGTAAGTTCAAAATTTATACATTTGACTTGATCACAACCTCAGACTAGGCATAACCTTTCCTTATCAAGATGAATTAAGACAAATTGGTTCTAGAATGATTTAGCAACCCAGTGTCAACACCTATGGCCAGAATGAGCAGGAAAATGGTCCCTGAGATTGGCCAGAGTCATCTCAAGAGCCTTTTCTCCTTCCTCTCAGGATTTGTGCATTTCAATGAGACCAGAATTGTAATCGTATTTACAGATAAGGAAAGTGAGGGGCAGGGAAGTGGAGTCTAGAGCGTTTATTATTGTCACCCAGGGTTTGAGAGATGTGCCTGGGCACCACCAGGGTTCATGTGCCATAGCTCAGCTCCAAGGACAATTTTGTCTTTCCAAATTTTAGGACATTATATACTTATCTACTCTACAGACTTTTTATTTTTACTGTTTTCTTGACTGTGTAAGTAACTTATAAATATGTTGTTAAAAATTAAAACAATGCATAGAGAAGTTTGCTTAATTGCAATCTTGCTGAGTGCTGATTTGGTACTTGATATGTTTCTTTTGATCATGTGTCTTAAAGATTATCTTCTACCAGCACGGATGAGTCTGTCTTATTCTCTTCAACCACCACATGGATTTCTGTGTGTGGACATACCCTTGCTTATTTAACCACTCTCCTATTTATGGACATTTAGGCTGTTTTCCAAAATGGTCTCTCTTGTTTGCTACAATCCAAGGTATTTTATAGCACATAAAACACAAAGTGAGTTGGAACACCCGCCTTGAACAAAGAGGAAGGACTCTGAGGACTGTCGCCAGACTCTGACTGGAAGCCACCTTGTTCTGCTATTGCACTTGTAACTGCTCATTTTGCCATCCCTCCTAATTGGCTTCCCAGTCCCAGCTGCTCCTCGCCTCTCTTGGCTCTGAGAAATGGCTGACTCGGCCCAGCTAGGAATCCAAGTATCCCTCCAGCCAAGCCTAGGTTCAGTTACACACTCAAAAATACCAGAGGGAGGTCACAGAATTGAAGCAAACAAGGTTCAAGGTTCCTTCCCTCCCCTGCCAACCAGGGATGAAATCACCTGTATTTGAAAAGCCACACGTACTGGGAACATTTTGAGCAGGATTGAGGCATCTGCCTTCCTCTTCTCTCAAAGGATGGACTCAAGACCAAGGTCCTCCTGTATTCAGGGCTCTGAATAAAAATTGCATGCACACTGCTGTAAGCAACCCAGTTTCAAGCTGCCTTTTTGCAAATATCAGCAGTTTCCTCTGGTAGAGGTGGGTTAAGGCTGAAGGTCTCTTCCCCATACCTTACAGCAGCAGGTGCCTTGCTGTAAATTATGTCTCTAGCCAAATTCTGCCCCGCTTATGGATTTGTGTCAGTCAACAGGTATACACAGCCACACGACTGTTCTGTAAACTCTCTGAAAGTGGCCCCTACCCATTTATACTCTAAGACAGTGCCTGGCAAATGAAGTCATTCTAGGAGTAGACTTTAGCTAACTTGCTAGCCTGATCAGATGACAGAAACTTCCATGTATGACCCAAGACAAGATCTGACCAATTCCTAGTACTGAATATTTAGGTCTAGGACTCCACAGAGCATACATAGCAAAGTGCCTGACACATAGTGAAGCTAAGTAGTTAGCTAACACCTGGTAGCAGTATTATAGTCTTTCCTAGCCAAACCACATATCTCAAATCTCCTTTCAATGACAAATAATTAGGAACATTTTAATGCTAAATAACAAATAATCTTCTAATACTAATTAGGGGTAAAGATAAAGTGCTTAGGTAATCTCCTCTGGAGTGTGAGCATCTTATTATCATTTTTCAAATGTTGACCAACCATGACAAGTGTAATTTCCCAGTTAGGGCATATCACAAGTGCCCTTTCCTAGGATGGTGGTTCCAAGGCTGGGTGCATCTTAGAATCATCTGAAAATCTTTTAAAAAATGGTGATGCCCTGGTCTCAACCCAGGTGAATGAAATCTGAATATAAACTTTAATATCCAGATATTGTCTTGAAAAAGAAAAACAACCAACAAACAAAACTTTTCCAGTTGATTCTAATTTCCACCCAGCGTTGAGATTACCACTCCAGGGTACAGATTTAAATGAATACATACATAATTATATACATGTATATCCTTGAAGATGGAGGCAGTAAAGCCATCTTTATCCCAGTGTCAGAATTCTGATCGTGAAAGACTTCACCTTTACTAAGACTGTGGGAAACACACACATAAAACTTACCATCAATATTTATTTGGCTCTACTATGTGTCAGGCATTTTTTTAGAGCTAGAGATATACCAGTGCTTTCAAGAGTCAAACTCTCCTGCCCTTGGGGAGTTTTCAGCTTTACTGAGTTTTCTAAGGAAAACTGCAGGCAACATAGTATGCTGCTTCTGCCACAAAGCCAAGGAGGGCAGCCTTTGTATATATAAATGTAAAAAGTTATGAAAGATGAAGGATGTGGGGTGAGGAATTAGGGAACCTGGCTTTTATTCTGGGCTCTGCCCTGGGACTAGTTGAGCAAATCC